ATTTGCATACACATAACTACTTTTTTACACTCATTTTACATCTTTTATATATAATATGTAATATTTTATATTACAATGATTTAATGGAAGTCAGTGCAGACCTACACTACAGCAACTGAGAGAAAAATTTGGTTGCATAGAATAAAAGGCCATTTTCCACAGCCACCCCTGAAAAACGTGTCAGTAAAGGCCAATATGAACAATGAGTTCTCCTTAACTGGCTAAAAATACTTGCTTTCACACTCTACAATAGTAATCGATTTGGACATGTGGTTGGTGGTTTGAGATGATCTTGTAATTGATTTTAAAACAGATGGCAGCTGTCAAATAAGCATTTGTATTTATTTGATGTTTCTATGAGAACCCTTGGGGTTTCACTATCTCAGTAGTCTTTGTTTTCTCCTTTCCTAGACCCTCTTGCTGTTCTCTGATCTCTCTTCCTCTCATGTTCTTTTGATGCACCTACTGACAATTTCTTTTGAGCTTTCTTTCCCAATGTAAACCCCGGCCTTTATGTCGGGCTTTAATTTCATTTTGCTTGAAATTACTTTTTATTAACAGTTTTAATAAAACAGCAAAATGTTTTCAGCGCACCAAATACTTCATGATCTGAGCATCAGCTACAATACATCACACAAACAGAACCATTGGTTATGCCCCCCAGAATTGATGTAATTTACCAAGTCAGCAATAAATAACACTGTTCCTGAGAGCTTTTGAACCTTAAATTGCTGATGTCTTTGAATTATTTTTAATTTTTTTTTTTTTTTTGTGATGGAAAAGAGTTGCAGTGGTAGAGGTCAGACTGTCAGAGGACTGGTCTGTCCAAGCTTCGTTGTCTTCTTGCACAAGTCTCTGTTAACTCACACTTGAAAATTACAAGTTATTTGTGTCTTCCAACAAGAAGGCCCAGGAAAATGTGGGGATTTTTTTTTTTCTGCTAAATTATCTTTTTCCTCTGTTTTTTTTCTGCTAATATCATTGGAAATAATCTCTAAGCTACTAATGGATTTCTCAGTCAGTCACTGGTGAAGGCTTCATCTTCTCCAAACAGCAAGCTAGAACTTTGCCAGCTTCAGCAGAAAGGCAAAATTCACAAATATGACTCAGGATGGACAAAGGCTGCAGAACTAGCTGGATTTTAGAAAAGCATAAAGAAACCTCCATGGCCATGGCATTTACATGTGTTTATTAGGAAAGAGGAACTGCCAGTCTAGAGCTCTGTGCAAACCTGGGAAGTAGATTTGCCATGGAAATATCTTTAGAAATGCCCCAGTGGCAGATTATGGTTCAGAACATTAAAACCATCTCTGTGGATTTCCAAATGTGGTGCATACAACAGGGTTTTTTTTTTTTTCCATAATCTGCTGGTTGCCACAGAGGTTGCATAGGATTAAGGCCTGGTGCTTTTACCTGCATTGAGTCTATCAAGGAATTCAGAGGTCTGGATGCACTTCACTGGGACTCTTCAGAGCTTAGACAGAGGTGGACATGATAATTATAAATGTTTGAGCTCTATGGCTAAAGTTGCTATATGAGTATCAAAAGGAATAACAAAACTCACTTGTGAAGAAGATCCTTAGAGGATTGGGGTGGATATTATCTATGGAGGAACAAGCCAGAGGATTTTTGGGCTTTCCTCCAGATTTGCTTGCTGTGATTCCTTGAGAAGTTTGTTACCTGAAGTGAGATAAAAGCCTCCCATTTCACTGCTCTTGCAAGTGCTGCTGGAATTAAATTGCAGTGTGAAACAATCTGATGGCTGCCTAACTTCACACATGCTGGGCTAATTTTTGATGACAGATCTATTAGAAATGTCCACCCAACTTCTGATCCACTGTTCAGTCTTCCCAGGGATTACCCACATGGTATCATAGCCAAATGCTACATCCAATCCCATATTAACCACAGCCTGTTACTTGGCAGCTGAGAACCACCACAAGGGACTTCTCCTTCTGCTCCCTGATGGTGAGCAGGAGAGCTTCTGCCAGGAAACACATCCTTCAGAAGATTTGGCATTCCCACACTGGGCAGCCTGGGTATTGCTCAGGTCTTGATTCCAAAGAGAGCCACCCACATAATGCACAGGCACGGGAACCTTGAATTCAGCTCAGGGAGCATTCCTCTCATCACACCTCTGTTATTTCCTCCAGTTGCTTTTCTTCTCCAATGATGTTGAAGTCTCGAAGAGGGATATATATCCTGTTGTCACTGAAATATTCTCTGAGCTAGGACTTCAAATTCTCTTCCTGAGGGTCTCTTTATTTAGAAGACTCTTTGTTTCACACAGCTTTGAAGTGATCATTCAATTGGGCCTTACTCAACTAGAAAAAAAGGATTAAAATACACATCTTGTAACATTCCCTGAGCACAAACACATCACTGGCTAATACATGTCCCCACTGAAAAGTCCCTACTCATGAGCAGGGTCATCCAGCTGTCTCAGAGTCATTCATTACTAAATGTGCTGAGATGGAATAACTTGTCTCAAACCCTGTGCTTGAACCCAGCCAGGAGGTTTGAACAGCCCTTGTTCAGCTAAGGCAGCACACACTTTATTCTCACTGCTTTTCAAGTTTGCATGCCCTGTTGGGGCTGGCAGGCAAAACTGTGGAGAAAGAGCACAAAGCCAGCAGGGTCTGACTGTGAGGAGTCTCAGGAGCTCACTCACAGCATCCTGACTTCATGTAGCACTCAGCAGCTGCAAGCTCTGGGGAAGAGGGCAAAAGTTTTGATCAATTATCACTTTATGCTCTTAGTCAGGAGGTCGTGATCCAAATATGTAAGGGAGTTTTAGTGTATAAGGAAAATCTGTTTTTTCACACACAAGGCAGGATCTGAACTTACTTTAAAAAGACTCAGCAGTTTTGAATGAAGCTGATTTTAGCTGAGCATATGCTAAATGCAAAGACAAGGAATAAACTGTCTCCAAGAACAGATTGTCTGTAAATCATTTTTTCTTTCAGCTGAAAGAACTTTCTGGTACTAATGCATTCTCTAGTCCATAAGAATGTTCTCTGGTTTGCTAAAACTAACTGATCTCTCTAATAACAGCAAGGTCCTGGCTTTGTTTCAAGGCAAAGGTTCACTCAATTAAATCTCATTAACAGAGGACCACAAAACCTGCACTAAAACCTTTCTGGGTATGTGACCTTCAGCAGAACTGCTTCATTAAGTCTGAGATCCTGGAGAAAATGTTTGCTGAATAAAGTCATTCCTAATTAATGTTAAAATGTCAATGATTCATCTGCCATCTATCTTTACTCATTTTTCTTTATGCTCTTCATTATCTCTTTAATGAGCAACCAGTGTAAAAGTCAAAAGCAGAATCTTTTAAATGTACATATAACAGGTGGGACAATGCAGCAAAGCAAATTTGCCAGATGTGCAAACGTTTGTAACTTCCTAAACGTTTGTAACTTCCTGTTACTTCCAAACGTTTGTATCTTCCTAAATATATTTTGAAAACCCCACTTACATGCTACCATTAAGAATTGATTAATTAATTTGTTATTTCTGAAAACCATAAGCATTGAGGATGAATTTTCCCTTGCACTCTTTCTGATGTTACCTTGAGTTTTATTCCAAGCCATATGCAAGTCTTGATTAAAAAAGTGTTTGTTTACCCTGTGATGAATATAATTGTCTGTTCTCTAAGGATTGCTCATCCAATTTATTTATTTTTTTTTTTAATTAAACATTTTCTGGTGAGTTTTTACTCTTCAGACCAGAGGGATGTCCTGGTTGGACTGGGGGGTCATCAGAGGGTGGTGTTCAAACTAAAAAACTCAGAAAATCCTCATCCCTTTTTCCAATGACCAGTGATGGCAGCAGGCATTGGAGCTGTGTAGCAGCATTTCATGGTGAAGGCTTAGAAACACTCTGTAGCCTCTCTAATTTTTATTCTCACATTAAAGTAATGGCACCCATCTTCCTGCCCATCAATCTGCACAGCATATGCAAGCCCTTCTGGTGGTTTAAATAGGAATGACTCACATGATATTAAGCCCCTTAATGAAAATGTATTACATTATTGTCTTTCACAAAATGGGAGGTTTAAAAAGCCAAGTTAATGTCTTCCAAATGTCAGTAACTGGAGACACTTTGGACCAAGAGTGAATTTTATAGCTTTTCTGCAGATCTGTAAGATGAACTCATCTTCACAATGAAGGACATTAGATCATATGAAAAGTATTAGAAATTAGAAGTTATTTGAATTTGAATTTAATAAGAACTAGGTTCTGCCAGTGTTAAAAGTAATTTCACATGATGGCAATATTGTTTTCTCCATACATACTTGAACTCTGACATGTTTGCATTGGCAGTTTTCTGAGCACCTTTTCACTGGTAATTATATTACTGAAATCTCAAAAATCCCAAAATTCAGTGGTATAAAGGATCAGGCTCTAACCCTGGCTACTTATGGCAAATTGCTTGCAAAAGTAATTTAAAAAAATGAAATAGGGATAAAAGTCAAGATGGTATCCAAGGCACAGACTCTATGGCCTGAAATCTTGTTTGGAAGTTCCAGCCTTTCATAAATTATAGAAAATTTCTATATTTATTTATTCCCAACTGGCAATAGAATTTAGGAGTATTTCAATTGTTGCTGAGGCACTTGTATAAACACTGTTAGAATTGATTGATGTGTGTCTAGGCTGATGTTGTGAACCCTAATCATCTGCAGGACACATAGCAGGAGCAGCAGTGCCTTTTATGCTGTCATGAGTGTGTGTACTAATATGAATAATTTGATGTTTCTTCAGCAAAGGTAATTAAGCCTAATAACCTATAAATACAGAGTAATTGTTATCAATTGTGTTCATTTGTGTATATGGCATAATTTGATGAGTATTTTTGATTGATATTCCTGTGGCATCCCCCCTGTGCTGTGATTAGACTGGGATTTTCATATCTGCACTCTTTAATTTACTGCTAACTAGTAATTTACCTCTAATAGCCTTTTCTTTTCTGTTCTCTCTATTTTTTTTTTTAATTAGAGGAGATCTTGAAGACTCACATTGCTCATTGGTGGTCTCCTGATGGCACCAGGTTGGCATATGCAACAATTAATGCCTCCAGAGTCCCCACCATGGAGATCCCGATATATACAGGCATCCTTTACCCTACTGTTAAAACTTACCATTATCCAAAGGTAAGGGAAAATTAAAAAATCAGTCCTGCTGCTCCATCAGAAATAAATAATTGTTTATTTCCAGTAGGCTCAGACAGGAGACTAATAATGCAAACTCATAAGCGATGAAAATAAACAGATCCAATGGAAGACCAGCTGTTCCTCAGTGAACGTGCATTTAGAACATTTTTTAGCTGCTTTTGTAAAATTGCACTTTTCTGGTTCTACAAGAATTATTAACTCTATATACAATGAAAACAAAATTTAGAAACCCTTGCCTTTTTGCACACACAAAAGCAATTGTTGATTCCATGCTGGAATGGGTGGAAGTTGGATGTTATCTGTGGGTTTGTCTCCAGGATGGGGTTCATGTCTGAGGACTGGGAATTCCTTTATTTCTGTGGGTATGTTTACATGTTTCTATATTTAGATACATTTCTATATGTAGATAGATAGACACATACATACATATATTTTATATTTACATAGGTTCCCTTTTGTGTAGAAGGAAAATGTAGTATTTGGGCTTCCTTAGAAGATCCAGGATGGCCTAATATCAGAGGAGACATTGGTTTTAAAGGCTGGCTGTGCCTGAAAGACAGAAAAGACTAAAGAGCCAATCTCCCCTTGCCTGCAGACCTGCAGTGAGTGCACAGCACTGGCACAGCTCTCCAGCAGCTCAGACTCACTGCTGCTGTTTTTGCTGTAATTTCCTGCTCTAAAGCAGCACAAGGGTGATCTGCTGCAGCCATTCCTTCTGGGTCTCTTGCTTTAAGCACTGATTGCCTAAGACCTCGCATGCTGGTCCAAATTGAAGCACAGTTTAACAGGAGAGATGCCCACATATCTGCAGGTTTTGTGGAAATCAATGGTTCAGCAGGGTATGCCCTTTCCTACAGTAGAAAATGAATCAGTATTTTACTGTATCATCCTATTAGACAATCTTTTGTCAAAAGGTGCAGAAAATAGCAAAATTTCTAGTTGCCATGAAAAGTAGGATTTTTTACTAAGGTTAGAAGTGTCCTGAGTAGAATTGCCCTTTTTTTGCCTGCCAACCCCTCCACACCTCTGTGCCACATCCCTAGATTTGCAGTCTCCCTGTAAAAGACCACAGCAGTCCAATCCATATCCTGTTCAATGGAAATGCTTTTTATAATCCATGGGGATGTAATAAATCAAGACCATTCTGTGTTGTATATGATTACAATATCATATACAACATATGTATATATACAATATATAGATCATATTTATTCTTTTCTAAAATCCAGGCTGGAATGGAAAATCCAACTATTTCTTTGCACGTGATTGGTCTGAATGGACCCACTCATGACCTGGAAATGACTCCCCCAGATGATCAGAGAATGAGGTAGGTGCTTCCTCACCCTTGAATGCTGGCTCCAATTCCCTTGGGGTTTTTTCAAGATAATTTTGCAGCTTTTAACGCTGGACCTTTCTCTGCTGCTATCAGAAAGTTTCATTTTTTGTAAATCTGCTTTTTTTTTCCCCCCCAATTACCTGTCTTTTTCCATGTATTTTATAGAATATTACATTAGAACAGGTTTACGCTGAATAACTTTAAAATAATCCAAACACATTTTGCAATAGAAGATGTATAACCTCTGGCCAAACCAAATGGGTATTTGCCATTTAAAAATACAACTTCAGACTTGTGTACAGCAGGTGGGAGTTCAGGATCACACTATCCCCATCACAGTAACAGAATGGTGGCTCCTGAACAATATAATTCCTCTTTTGGTAGCATTCTCTGTAAACAGAGAGACTCAGAAAGGTTTTAATTACAGCAATAACTTCTGGCTGCAGGATCCAAGTGCTGTTCACAAATTTGTTCTATATGGTTATGGGTGGCCATAATTTATTTGGTTGCAATCAATATTGAAAAATGGTGCAAAATACATCATAATTAATTAGTGCCTGTATATTTCATCAAAAGCATGGCAATTGCCAACCCTAGGGATGATAGAAGTAGTGCTGCCAGAGCAATAGGGGTGTATTTTCATTATGCATATGTTTTCTGAACATGAGAAGATTAGTGTGATAAAATTTTATTAAAATAGGCAAGAGGGATGTAGTGTGCATTCAGTTTCAGAAGGGAGTTTCAAGAAAGCAGGGGAAGCAGGTGATAAGGATCTTGCATCAGACACATCCTATCTGAAGCATTTCAGTGTGCTCAGTGCAGATGATATATGGACAGAGTGGTATTTCGTGTTCTTTTTATCTGGAGCAAAGTGATTTAGTACAATTAATAAAGCTGAGAATAAAGTGGAGATATGCCACAGCCTTTTTTCTTTCAAAACTGAAAGAAGCCAGAAATTTTCCACAGAAACTGGGTATTTTTCAGAAAAAAAACCCAAAACAATACAAAAATAAACAAACAAGCAAACCCAACAAAACAAGAAAAAAAAAAAGCCAAAGCTGATGGTAGCTGATGGTAAAACACATTTGGAGGTGAAATGTACAATACTGAGCATATGTCCTTTTTAAGTATCTTTCATTCTGAACATTTTTGTCAAGGTTTCTCCAATGCTGTGATCTTCTGTTAAAAAAAGAAAGCGAAGAGAAGGGGTTGAAATTGAAGGCTGAACAGTAGTACTATAACACTTAGGGCCTGACAGGCATTTTTTATTTCGGTGAAAACCACTGGACCTCAAGAGTTTCATCTGCAGGTGGTCAGAATTAGATCATCACCCAGCTTATTTCTCATATTTGCATCTCCGGTGGCAAATTGAGGGATGATATTATCTCCCTCAAGTGCAGATATCATCACTGGCCCTTGCATGGGCCAGAAACAAATAAATGATGGAAAAACTCAGACACCTCCAGTCTGGATCTGATGAGCTGTCAGTGCCCAGGGACCATTGGCTGGGCTGCTGCCTGTCCCTTGGCTGTAATAAATCACTGTCTGTTTCTTTGTGCTGTTTGTGGCTTTGGTACCATGGTCATACTGTAGGTATTCCTATTGTAGAGTCACACCTCATGTTTGGGATTCCTGCCTCCAGGAAGCAGCCATGGAAAGCTGGGGCAGGAACAAGGCTGCTGCACTATTATCTCAGTCTCAGATGATTCAAACTGAACCAAAAATGTATTTACTGGGATGTGGAAATCCCCTGCAAAACCCAGGATGGCTTCACCCTTCTTGACAGGGCTCAAACAAGGTGTCCCTTCCCTTTTGTTCTGATGTGGATGTCTGTAAATGCAGTGGTCAAGGATCTGCTGGTATAGATTTTTTTCTATGGAAGAAACATGTTCTCCCTTAAATCGGCTCCACATAAAAGGTGGGACAGGTCAGGCAGAGAGGGCTTGGGAATTGCACTGATTTCCCATTTCTCTCCACTGGCTGCTCAACCAGTGCAGCTGCAGGGGCAGCAGATGTTTAAAATTAGCTGAGATGAATCATACCTTCTTGTCTCATTTTCCTCTGCAAAAGGGGAACCATAAAACTTGGGTGTCCTACAGAAGAGATGTGAAGGGAAGTAAATTAAATGAAAGACTCCATACTACTCAAAAACTAGAATAATGACTATCCAGGTATCTGCAGTGGGCTGGGTATTCCATGGTCTTGATGACTGCAAGAGGGTTCAGAGGGAAATTGAGACTCCATGCCTTTCTCTGGGCTGGTAGGGAAGACCATGATTCCCATGAACTAAAATAATAATTAAAAGTTCCTGAGAAAGAACTGTAGCTCTTGTGTTCAAACAGTGAGATGGATGTAAAAATTGAATATATGTCCTTGAAACTTTAAATTGGATTTATAGAAAAAGTGCTCCAAGCCACAGTAAGTACTAAAATCACATTCCTTTTCTGGGGAGACTGAATCTGCTCAGTTCATTTGGAGAGAAAGAAGAGACAGTTATACAGTTTAATTTTGCTGTGTTGTTTCTTTTCCTCTTAGGACCTACACTGTGGCTGATGAAGAGTAAAATTACAATTTTATTTCAGGCTCTAAATTTTCTGACTGCTGTTGTCTCACCTGGGCATATCCTTCCCCCAGTGCAGTGGATGCAAGCATTGAGGCTTTTTGTTCCTTTTTCCCCGCAGCCAATTTCAGGCACTAAATATTACTGAAAAGTACAAAATCAATTTCCAGCTTGTTATTTTTCTAGACAAACAGACCTTTGTGCTTTTGCCCTTTCTCTTCAGTACATGCAGGAGCTCTTGCCAGGACACAAAGGATTCTCCAGCGACACAGCACATTATTTCCAACGAGAGCAACAATTCCTTATACATATTTCATAGCAAACAAATGAACTAATACATTTTTTATAGACTGTGTGCTGTAAGAAGTCTTATTATACTTTAAGGATGTCTTGGCCCACATGGCCCAGCAGTATATCATAGCATCACCAGCTTTGCCAGTTCAGCCAGAGTTGTGCCCTACAAATGAAGTGTTGGAACCCTGAATTGCTGCAGAGGTGGACATCTGGTGGCACCACGCCCTGGCTCTGAGAAAGCAACCATCAGTGAATTTATTCCTGTGTTTTCCAGCCAAGCCTAAGTGGTTGCAGTCCTCACTATGGCATGGGACTTTTCCTGAAGGTATCAATGTGCAGCCCACACCCATGGTTAACTCCAAATATCATCACAACCTGAATATGCCCAGCAATAAGACGGTGCAGGCAGTGTAGGAGGGTGGTTTTGCTCGTTGAAACTATCTTTGCTGATGCATTTATGGCAACCAGCTGCATCTGCTTTAGAGAAATCCTGCATTGCTCCAAGCTCTATCCTTCTTACTATTTGTCTTTTAATACAACACTCCCGGACACTTTGGTGTATCAGCCAGCGTGCACAGAGGCCATCAACTTTTCATAAGCATCAAGAACCCAACCATTGATAGTGATGGGCCTGAGTCAGCTCAGTTTAGTGTGCTCAGAATGGAAATGGTTTGCAGTTTCTTGTCCAACTGTGCATAAATTTGTAGCTCCAGGCAGTTCAATCCTTCTTGGAAGACTGAATAGCTTGGAAGATTCTTTATCTCTGTATTCATCTCTTCTTTGAAAATAACTTCCAGAAGTGGCAGATAAAACACCTGCACAGCCCTAAAAATGTCATTTTTAGAGGTTGAAATCCATACATAAAGCAGTGTAGATACATCAGGACACAATATTCTTTAAAACCACAGCTCTCTCCTGGACTGCTTGCCTGCAGCAGCCCCTGGCTGCTCTGCCACATGGTAATTCATTAGGAAGTGACCTGGTTTGTGTGTGTCTGTGCTTGCAGGGACTACTACATCACCATGGTGAAATGGGCCACCAGCACCAAGGTGGCAGTGAACTGGCTGAACAGGGCCCAGAACGTGTCCATCCTGACGCTCTGCGACGCCACCACGGGGGTCTGCACCAAGGTAGGAGAGATCTGCACAGCGCTCACCTGCTTCAGTGTCCATAGCCATCAAAGAGAAACTATTTAACTTATTGTACATGGTGAAAAGCCAGCTGGAACACCTTAATTTAAGCAGACAGAACATAAACAATGTTCAATTTTTAATTTTTTTTTAACACCTGGTAATTCAAGAACACTTGGTGTGTGTTTGAGGTCTTACCTCAGACACCTTGATTACCTGTCTTGATTACCTTTATCCACACACAAGCAACAATTTGCAACCTAAATATCTTTGCCACATTCTAGCTGCATTATATGTATTTAATGGCATTAAAACCAGTTCATGCTTATCTACACATACCTTAATTGTAGTTACTTGCTCCCTTCTATAAATGCAGCAATACAAATGGTGTATTGATTTAGATCACATTCCATCATTTAAACTGGCACATGTTTCCACTGTATAAAATTGTTCTAATACACCCATCTCTTGAAAAACATCATGCAATTCTGTGCATAGAGCATGGTGATAAGTTTTTTTCTTAATAACTTTCATTTCAGCCTTTATTTATTTCTTAAGAAAATTTATTTCTTTGGGGAATAATACATCTTGTGGATTTATGTGTTTTGTCTGTATGTGTAAAATGCTTTTTTGCTCTAGTGGATGTTTATCCATCAGGGAGGAAAGTCAAGAAAAGCAGTCATTGGATTCCACTCCAGAAGCCCATATTTAAGCAGTTTCTCTATATTTCTGAGCAACTTTTCAACTCCAATCCAACAGCTTCCTGCATTGATAGGCAGAATATAATATATAATAAGTATGGCATTAATGACCTTTTTGTGTTTTAGAAACATGAAGATGAGAGCGATGCCTGGCTGCACAGACAGGTAAGAGTGATCTTCTCCTTGTAGTCAAGTTTTTGGTAGGATAATTGCTTCACTGAGTTTTTTCCCAAAGAGAAAAAACTGATTTCCAGATTTGACAGACACACTTGGAAGATGGCATGATTGGTATGACAGAAAAGAGCTTTTCAGTTACAAACAAGTTTTTAGTAAAGGTGCCATCCACTCTGGTAGGTCCCATAGTCCTTAGCCTGCAATTTACTTGTATCTAAAAGAGATGAAAAGCTGATGTGGGTGCAAAATCACTCACTGGCAGTATCTGTATAGGACTCACCAACCTCAGAGGCTTCAGATCCTGCCCTGGCACTGGTGATGAGGGTTTAAACACTATGGTGGTTGTTTTCTGGTCGTTTTATTGAGAGGATCTCTGTCCATTCAGAGACAAAATCATGCAGATAAACTGTTGAGTCACTTAAATATCATCCATAACACTTGCCCAGGAGTCAGTTTGTGAAGGGACCTCAGAATAAATGAAGCTGGTTTTGAGAGAGAAGCTGTGATCTCGATTCAGCCACAGCACCAAACTGTTTTTGAAGCCCTGTGTGAATGAGAGCAGCATGTCACAAAATATCTTGTTTGATATATTTTTTCCAAGTCCAGATTTAAAGCATTTAAAATTTTTGTCACAGCCTGCTCAGAGGAGCCAAGACTCTGTAGAAATGGCACTTCACAAGTTCACAGCAAGAACAATGCTCTCCTCTGTTCCAGTGGCTGTCCTGCAGCAATGGGCTGTGTGTGATCCAGATGAAAATTGATTGTATGGGGAAATAGATTTTGTGCTCCAAGCACTTTAAATAATCTTTGCTGATATAGAGTAAAAATGGTGCTGAAATAGTCTTTACATTCATAAGGACTGTATTGGCTTGAGTAGGAAAGAAAAGCTTAAAAGACAAGCCAAATCAAGGGAAATTAAATTGTCCAGATATTGTACATTAAAAATAATAATAATAAAAAACTTAAATGGCATTATTTACTTTATAACTTTGAAGGCAATAGCAGTAAAATAATCCTTTCATTGCTATTTACTGCAGTACAGTAGAAGTTGTATTTTATATTATTAATACAGTATAGTAGAACTTGTGTTTTTACACTGCTGTGGTTATTTAGTCACCTACCACGTGGACAGGCATTAAAAGATGGTGCTTTATCCTCATAGCTGAAGTAAATGATATGTCAATCTCTAATGGGCCTGCTCCAGGGAAATACATTTTGTTTTACTACATCTCCAAAAAGCATATACTTAGTTTGAGAGCACACAGTTTGATGCTAGAGAAGGATGTTCATTACAGCCAAATGAGTCAGACATCTCAGTGCTAAACTAAAATAACATTTTCTATGGACTTTGGAGACATATGATAGCATCCTTCAAAAGCTTTTGTAAGAGTCTAAAGAATTATATAGGTCTTTTTGCCTGTATTTCTGACAACAAAATTACTTAAAATTCTAGTTTTGACTGAATATGATTACTGGGATAATTCTATTTTCTATACTTGCCTTTTATTCTATGACATATTTATCTAGATAACTGGAAAGGTATTTCCATGGCATGTGTGCCTGACTATGAGGATAATGTGAAAATGTTAAATGCTAGTTTGGGTTCACTAACCTCTTCAAGAAGGAGATGAATTGCACATCAGGCAGCTGCTGAAGGAGCTCTGGAGTGTGGCTTGGCTCAGGATGAGGACTCCTTGGTTGGGACATTTTAAAATAAGTGTTTGCAAATGAGCCAGGTGCCCTGTCCCCTCTGGAGACAGCCAGGGTGGTGGCAGTGGGGTCACACAGTAAAAAAAAACCAAAACAAACAAACAAACAAACAAAACAAAACAAAACCAAAAAAGCAAACAAACAAAAACAAACAAACAAACAAAAAAAAAACATACAAGCCATTAATTTGAATTTTGTTGTTCAGTAGTTTGGTGACTCAGTAGCATTTAAAAAGTCTGTGTATGGAAGGTCATAGTAAACAATCTCATGTTTCCTTCTGGGCTTAAGTTCATGAATATATTTTATGCAAGTCCAAAATCTTTGGAGAGCCTCTCTCCAACACAAGCAAAGAGAAATAATACAGCCACTCCCTGTGCAGCTAAAAAATAGAATAAACTACTCCAAGTACAATGAAGAATACACAGTATTTACACAGGAATTGCTGGAAAGAATCTGTCCCTCTTTTTCAGATGAGGTGGCAAATGTTCATTAAAACTATCCAGGGACTCTGGAAGTTTATACTTTTATTTATATACTTGTTTGTGGCCTGAGCACAAGAGCCAGACTTAACTTCAGTCATACTTTTGCTTAAATACACAAACTGTTTGAAACACTAATTATAGCTGTGAGCAATTTTGTTTCAGTTTCTGTGAAGAAGCCATTTTTTATATAATACTGGGGACGGTCATATACAGGCAATGATTCAAAAAGGGAGAAATCAGGCAATTTCTGTGCACCTGCTGAAGATAAACTTTATTGGCATTTTAATTGTTTTATTTATTTAATTATGAATGTGGCCTAAAAAAAAAAAAAATTAATTAGAAACCAGGGTGCAACTGCATCTGCACCAAAGGCTGCAGTCTTTGGCATTGATGTCGGCAGGACCAGGAGATCATAAAATTGTTTAGAGACCTATAACCTCCAGAACTGCCTGCGTGGGCTGGCTGCCCTCCCCTGATAACAGCTTCCTGGGGTTGCATTGTTATTTCCAGTCCTATTTGCCCAGTGTTTTAGATGACCTCAGTCTGAAGCTAAAGACTCACTCTTTTAAAAGGTGGAGATGATGAAAGCCTGGCATCATTTTTCTTTTCCTGCTCCCTTGCTTTAATCCTGCATGACAACCAGTAATGATTCTTACATGTAGTTAATAGGAGGTTTGAAAAGAGATTTTTAATTTAAAAACAGAGTTTGGAGGAACTTACAAACAGGACCCACTTTTTCACTCTGTAAAGCCCTTTTGCCATGCAATTATCCCCTAACTGACCTAATTTAGCCTAAAGACAAAGGATGCAGCAGAAATAGGACCCAGAGTTCCATAACTCAAATACTCAAGTTCATCTGCCAGGGATAAAAAAGCAGCTCCTGGCTACAAGCAAATATTTTTGGTGCTTAAAGAGTTCCCATTTCACCCAGTGGAGGGGATCTGCACCCAGAGATGTGTGATCCTCTCCAGTGGTTAACCCTGATTTTGGTACAGCTGCCCTGGCTTCAGAGATGGCCAAAGGTGTGCTGCACCCAGCCACAGAAGAGGATGAGGACAAGGATGAGGATGAAGCCCAGCATTGCCCCAGGGGCTGAGTGTGTCAGGAGATGGAAAGAGAATTTCCCCTGTGCCCTGAAGAGGAGATGTCTGCACTGTCCCAATACAGTCAATGCACACTGGGTGTTTTCTCTGTTGGATTTAAACAAAGTATTTACCAATATGCAGGGGATTAACAGGATTCATGTCACTCCTGTCTGTTTATCAGAGCTATGGGCTGTGACACAGAAAGTAGTGGGGCATTTCACTGAAAGAACAATTGCCACCACAGCAAAATCATCAATTCTGGGATCTGGGCAAAGGTGACTCAGACACAGAGGGCAGGAGACTGCTGAGGAAGGGAAAATGCATTAGAGAATCAATTGGAAAGGATCCAGTTATTCAGATTAATTTGCTTCCTTTTTAAAACCTGAGGATGAACCATAAAATCATAATTCTTATGGAACTCTCAGTCAGTAATAAAACCAATATGCAAAGAATCTGCCTTACCACTAATTTCTGTGAGGAAATGTGTCCAAGAGCAGGTGAGGCACTGTAGGAGAACAGGAGGCTGGGAGTGTGTTCAGCACAGACAAAACAGTTTGGAGCTGCAATGTGTGGTGCTGGAATATGATGATTGTTTGCCCCATGTTAATGTGTGGGTGGTTTTGGTGGAGCTGTACTTCTGTGTCCACTAATCTTTCATAAATTCCAGCTCCCCATAAATCGGATAATTTCTCTTTCAAACATTTGTCCCAGTGTGTGTGTTTGATCATGCAAATCCTCAAGGTCAGAGACACCTGTGCACTCCCCACCATCCTGTACACACCTTATCTTCCCTTGTTTTGCCAGAGGAGCCTTCCTCAGGTGGCTGCAGATCCAATAATTCTCAATGATCCCTCTCCAAACACAACTGAATACATTCTACCTTTTTCTCTTTAATTGTTATTCTTTACACCAGGACTTTGTGATCCTCTCTAGGATCTACGGCTCAGACTGCATTTAGCATTGTCCCCTCACCCATCCTGATTCTGCCAAACTTGGGATAAGCCCCTGGTTTTCTTCTCCTGACCATTTGCAGACACACTGAGTTGTGCAGCTCTGAGCTCCAGCACTGAACCCTCCAGGAGGTTCTGAGCCCTCCAGCAGCCTCCCATTACCTTTTTTTTCCAGAAAAGCTGAACTATTTGGTGCCATAACTTTCTCATATTTCACTATCATCTACAACAAAAAGATTACAGACATTTGAGACTATACCCATATCCTTTAAGATGTATTAATGAAACATGAATTTGTTCAATCCCTTTTTGCACCTACTGATTCCAAATGTGTCCATAAACCTCCTGTGGCAAAAACTTCCAAACATTCCATACCTTCTGCATAGTAAAAGTATTTTTTACTAGCACTAAATGGATGTATTATTTTCAAAGAATTGTTCTGGAATTGTTTTCAAGAACAGAGGGTTGTTCTTTTCTATTATTGTGGGATTCAGTCAACAATAGTTGACAAAAGGTTTGGACAGTTCATATCATATGCTGCATATTTTAATTATGTGCCCAGTGTAGCTCCCTAAATTATAAAATTCTCTTCCAAGAGAATGCCTCTCAATTTATTTACTCCCCTGGGTAAGTCATAATCTCTGTCACAGAGTTCTGCCTCGTTCATGTGTTGCCTTTCCAGCAATGAAACATGCAAACCATGTCTTGTATCATCAGCCCAGTGCTAAATCCTCACTTCTGTCACCTGTGCCATGAACCTCCTTCCCCTGTAGTTCTGAATGAACCTCAAACTCATCAGCACAATGCCTGCTCTCACTGGCACAGACATATTGCTGGAATATATAATGCAGGAGGCACAGAGACAGAAATGGAGGGTGAACTCATTGCTACCTACCTCAGGAAAGGAAAACCTGTCGAGCAGAAGGTTTGCCTGAGCTATCACAGTCATTATTCAATGAGGTTTCTCCTGTCATGAAAGACATTTGGAAATAATATAGAGTTTCATGTTTCAGGTTCCAGAACAATGTCAGAAACAAATGAAACCATTATTTCATAGAGCTGCAACAAGCTGCAAATGGGAACATTTTAAAATACGCTGAAAACCTAAGCAGGGGAAAATAAAAGGCAAAAAGAACAGTTTGAACACCTAATAGAGCACTGACAAATCTGATAAATATCAGAAAAGAATTAATCAGTAAAGAACAAAGGAGCAAAGGAACACGGAGTAAGAATAATGTGTTAGCTTACGGGAAATAAAAATGTTTGTTCCTTTGCTATGCCATTAGTCTCCATGTACAATCAGGTTCCTGCTGGTTCAGTGTAGTGTCTTGGCATGTGCCAAGCAGAAAGTCAAAGGGTTTGATTAACACTGAACTGCAGAGGACCCAGAAGAGGCTGGCAACAATCTTCTTGTTGCCCTGGATAAAGAAGGGTTCACAAATCCTGGCCAAGGAAGTGCTCATCCGGGCACTAAAAATCCTGATATGACAGGACAGCTTCAGCAGAGGTTCAGCTGAAGTTATAATTGGAAGTTATTCACTTCCAATTAGCTGAGACTTAGAGTTAGCTTCATGTAGCCAGCCCTGTTGGTTCCGTGCTCCTGAGTCCTACCACATGGACCATCTTTCTGCCTTCCCTGGTAATCTGCTGTTCAACCTTTTCATGTAGTGGAGACTTCTCATGTGCCTCAGGGCTCTTGTTCACAAAAAGAAGACTCCCTTCCAGGAGGTGCTTGCTTGCCACGTGTGATGTTTGATTTTCCTTCTGCTGAGTCTCTTCTATCTCTGGGTGAAAGTTCCAGTCACCCAATCAAAGTCAATCACCACGTTCACCTGGGAGCTCTGTGTCAAAAAGTTCTGCAGCAGATCCTCTCCTTCATAAATAATTCAGTGAGATAAGCATTTGTAAGGCAGTAGAAAAAGACAGCAGTTAGATGCTGTTCAGTTGTGTTTCCTCTGGAAGAACAGAGAGGTTCTTCCAGCAGGGTAAACAGGGTTTGTCACAGCAGTTCTAAAGGCTCCAAGTGCCCCGAGCAGCCAGCTGTATATGTGCATTTTGGCTTTGTAAATGGTAATTGACTTCACAGCCAAGGAACTCTCTTTGCTGCCAGTCCTCCCACAGCTGAAAGGTGTCTGCTTTCCCCAGAGCAAGAAGCAAAACTCAAAACTTTCTCCAGTTTTCAGTGGGCTCTTTGTTTGCCTCAGCTTGTTGTCAAAGAGCACTTTCTATTTTGCTGTGAATTCATTTTACAGGGTGTTGGAGTGCTGAGCAATTCTAAATACGACCAATTAACACTAATGCACCCCTTCATTTTGCTGCTTACACAGAATGAAGAGCCCATTTTTTCCAGGGACGGTCGGAAGTTTTTCTTCGTCCGGGCCATTCCCCAGGGAGGACGTGGGCATTTCTACCACATCGCCATGTCATCATCACAGGTGACTCTGCTGCTGCTGCTCTGGGTCTCACCTGAGGCAGACAGCAAGAAAAGTGCTGTCTGTGCTTGTAGCAATGAGATGGGGAGGTGCAGATGTAAAAACGTCTTGTTCATAAAAGAAAACCTCCAATGATGTTTTATTTGGGCGTAAGATAATGTGAATTTCCAAAGAAAAAGGTCAGTCGGCTGTCTCTTTCTAAATATTCTTTTGGTTTGGTTTTTGTAATGCCACTTCAGTTGTAGATAAGTAAATCTCTGCCCTGCCCCAAAGGGTTAAATAGAAGCATGTGGGCACGCTGGATTAGAGGAAGGGGTTTGAAGTTACTCTGTGCTGAAGTCACCTCATTATCTTCAGTGGAGTCATGGTTAAAATGATTCTGACTCTCTGTTATTTCTATGCCTGCATATTCACAGAAATGGCAGGTGTAGTGGTGGAAATTGCATATGTTTGGTTTATTTTTCATGGACAATGGAGCCAGAAGAGCTCCCTTTTTCAGAAGTTTTAACAATAAAGAAATGTACTTCTCTTTTCTTTCTGGCAGCCCAACAGCAGCAATGACGACTTACAGGCTATTACATCTGGAGATTGGGATGTGACAAAAATACTGGCATATGATGAAAAGAGGCAGAAAATGTAAGCAAACTTTGGCCTGACAAATCAGAGACTTCCTTTGCTTAGCCCTGGGCTCTGGGTTGGTTACAAAGGTGTTGTGCATGCACTGAAACCTGTGAGCATGAGGAGCTGGGGAGAAGAAAGCAGGAGGAGCTGTCTGCATTTTGGCTTGACCTCTCACACCATTACAGACATCTTCTGTTATTTTGAATAATCTGTGCAGTTCAAACCTCTCTTTCTATGACTGTTAAATAAATATGTGCAGAGGAGTAATTTTTCCTGCTGCAATTTTTGATAATACCCTCTGTAGGAAAGCTAACACGCTTTTCTGTAGGAAAGCAGCCTGTTTTCATCAACCACTTGGTCAGTTTTGGAAAGAATCTTTTGTTGACCTGCAAAAATACCAATGCAGTGGGAAAAAAAAAAAAAAAAAAAAAAAAAAGTGACTAGTTAGAATTAGGAAAAAAAAAGAAAAACAAGAAAAAAACAAGAAAAACAAGGCCACTCTTCTTCACACTTGCTTTTTATGCTTTTAAAAAAAGTTCTGCAAACATTCACTTTTTCAAATATACTTCAAGAAATTACATAAGAAAATATTTAGACAGCTTCTGGAATTAAATAACAGATTCCTCTCCTGAAAAATTTTTGGGTGGATACAAGGTTGTCACTTCTCAGTTACTTAAAGTCACTGAACAGTGGAATAAACAGTTTCTGGAATATAACAAACTTTGAGTGATCATTAAGAGCACAGTGCTTCTTCAAAATTTTGAATGCTCTCAATTACCAATAAATTCAGAACAATATAAAATCATAAAATGTAGAATCACAGACTGGCTTGGGCTGGAAGAGAAAGAGTATCCAGTTCCAGCTCCCTTCCACTGGACCAGTTTCCCATCAAACCTGGCCTTGAACACTTCCAGGGGTGGCCTAAGTAGAAAATTAGCACCAAAGTTTTAGTGGCATTTTAACTGGCCAGTCAAGCAGAAAATACCACACACAATTTGTACAATAAGATGTGTACCTAGGCAAGTGCAGCTTGTTGGAAGCAGATCAGCAGGGATGAAAACCCTTCCTGGCATTGTTCACCCCATGGATGCTACATTTGCTCCTGTGCTCTAGTATTATCCACACAAAATGCATCTAATTCAGATTTCACAGGTGGGACTGAGGTTGGCCATCTCCTGCAGCATCACTCTTTTACCTCCAGAAGCTGCCACTGCACAACAGAGCTTGTGTTGTTTATTCAGAGAGGAGCTCAGCACAAAACAAGGACAGCAAAATGTTCTTCAGCTTCATGCTCTGCTTTCCCATCAAACCCTGATTGGCAAAGAATAAATGTGGCCAGAGGAGTAAAAACTTCCTCTAGAGAGAGAACAAAGGTCTTTAAAAGAAATTCTAAGCCATGAATCTTGAGGTAAAAAGGTGGATATCTTCCACTTAATCATGTGATCCATTTTTCATCCGCTGACATGAGGAGTGTAGGACCCAAGGTTTCCCATGCCTGTTTTAACTGCAGTGCAGTCTGCAATGTACCTTCTGGAGCCTCTCAGTGATGTGTCCCTCCTATCCTTTCCTAGCTCAGCTTAAACTTCCCTTGCTTTTACGAGATTGTGAAAATGGCAATATGAGTGAAGATGTTGTTGCATGAGACACTTCTAAACACCCTTCTAATGGTGCAATTCACTTCTATTTTTCCCCTCCAGTTATTTCCACAGCACAGAAGATTCGCCACGAAGAAGACATTTATACAGGTATGTGCTTTATTAACTTCACATACAGAATTTCCCATTTCTTCAGTTTTACATGAATCTTAAGCAATTGCTGTAGAAGCAGTTTCTTAAGTTTTTTTTCTTTAATGGTATTGCAAGATCTCTCAGTGTGTCACTGGAAGAGACAGTGTAACCATAGCAAACAAAATGCTTGACACTTAGAAATGTTTTACATTTAGCAATTTTCTCATATTAATGCGAATTTTAAATTGGTGTCAAGATTGACTATCACAAAACTTTCCAACATAACTGCTGAGCACTTGAAGGAATTCAGAAATACAATAATGGTATAAACTGTCTTTATACTTTCCAATAAAGGTTTTGAAAACTTTCATAGTAGCTCACCTCTTCATGAAATTGAAAAGAATTAACAATATTTTATGTTTACAAACCTTTTTCTGCAGTTCCAGAAGATTTTAGCATCATCCCTAAGTATATGAAGAGTAAAAGGCTGGGTTTACACCAACCTATTAGTAATGTTGCCATTGTGAGATATTGTGGAAGCAGATTACAAAGAGGAGGAAACACAAACTTTTGAAAAAGCATTTCAGAATAATTTTTGCATTTGTCCTGTTTTTGAAGAAAACCAGTCACCCTGCTGCCACCACAACCTCTGCAATGAAGGGCAGGGTTGGTGAAAGCATCAGTGAATAAGGCACAGGCAGTACATTTTCCTTCTCTCACATGACATCATATATTTTTTTCCTCAGTGGGAAGAAAGTCAGAGCAAAGTAAATTATCTGTGATTGAATATTTTTTTCCTTTCGAGACCTATACGCCTGTTCACTGCACGCCACGATTTTTGAGAGTATTTCCTTGAAGAAAAGTTTTTAAATTATATTAACCCTCCATTTCTATTGAAATGAATACTTTAAAAATGGAGTCCAGGCACATTTCAAGAGCTGCTGGCATGAGTGAGAGCAGCTCTTCCTTGTCAGCATCCATCTCACCCCGGTGCCTCACCAGCTTCATCTCCCCACACAGACAACAGAGAAAGAACAGATGAAGATCTGTTTAGAGTTTTCCTCTCCACTCCTTTTTGTGTTTGATTTAGTAGATTTAATTAGGATTTTAGTCAGAGATAAAATCTGAGCCTAAACAACAGCCCATGATTACTCATTTCAGTCTCTGTGATCCTAAGAAAGTTGCTCAGTCTCATCACTTGAAATGGTAGCAAAAAACACTCCTCTCCTTTACAGCAATACTAGAAAGATCTCTTGGTTAATAATCTTGAAGTTTCAAAATGCTATCTATTAATATTTGCTAATAATCTGTAATTCTTCAACATTGAGTGGACTCTTAGCAGCAAACCTGTGAGCAAATGGACAGGCCACGTTACCTTCCTCAGCATCAGATCCCTAAATACAATCCTTTCTTTCTGCTTGGGGGTTTTAAGAGCAGCTATTTAAACCTGTGAAAAGGTCTTTGGCCTCTGAAGGAGCAGCTAGCAAATCAGACCAGTGGTGAAGCCAACAAGAAACTTCGAGAAAGCAATTCCAGCTCTTTATTGCCTGTTATAATATAAACAAGTGTTGAAATGTTGTTCCTTTGTTTCATGCCTTCATCCACCAAATTATTACTTCCTCTTGTGAAATTGCAACCATCATTTTCTTTTAAAAACTGTGCATTCCTCCATAACCACCTGACCTTGCAAAATGACATCAGAATCCATTTATATATTCTCTATTCAAGCAGGAGGGGGGAAAAAATCCATTATTGCTATTTAAACTCAACCAAATGGAAATACTTTGTCTCTTACTAATGTTGGACATATTAGATTTATATTCTTGTTCTAAAGAAAGGTTCAAGTAATGTTGCTTTCAAATAACATTTGCTCAGTGACCTTCATGGAATTGTATTAACTTTTTCAGTGCAAGCACAAATGGGAACTTCAACAGGAGGTGCCTGTCCTGTGATCTGATTGAAAACTGCACTTATTTCAGTGCATCCTTCAGCCACAATCTGGAATACTTCCTGCTGACATGTGAAGGTATGTGCTGGGTTCTGTCACTGCAGTTGTTGTGCCTCAGGGGCAGGATTTGGAGCCAGCACTGATATCTTCATATTTATTTATTCTGTGGACCTGAGGTCAGCTTTGAAAGACTGGGTATGAATATGTTGTTTTAAAGCTTTACTCTTGACATTTTTCTTTTGTTTTGTGTTTTTACTTGTAGCTAGAAAGCAAATATTTACAATGTTTTTCTGTGCATACATGCACAGAAGGTAGAGGTAGATTCCCCTAGCCACCACAAGCATCCTTAAAGGGAATTAACAGCAAAAGCTGGAGGATATAAAACATCAGAAAATTTGTGAGAGAGAAACCAGCAAGGTGGGGCTGACTGTGAGTGACTGGGACTAAGTGCCAGATACATCAAGCAATACTGTGAACAGAGAGATTTAAAGTAAGTTACAGCAAGAAGACAATTTGCCAGAAAGGGAGCTTACAGAAATGTTCCTGATAGAGAATGTGAGTACAGAATATCTGGTGCTTCCCTGCTCATCCATCATAGATTAACTTGGCATAATCTGCAGGTCCAACAGGGATTTCCTGTTTTGAAAATGCCTGAGAGTGTCCAAGAGGCTAAAGATGCATTTCAAGAGAAGAGTCATTGAAGTTTTCTCCAGCTCTGTTAAGACTAAATGCAGAACTTCACAAAACTTAATCCTGTATAATTTAATTCTTCTTAATTCTCCAAAATGGTACACAAAATGCATGCACACCAGTCATCCTGGGACTGAAGCTGCTCAGATGGCTGCATGTCCTCTAAAAAAGGCTTGAAAAGCATCAAACAAACAAGAAATTCATTATTTTCAACAGCCCGGGAGGGAAGTGAGTGGGTTTTGAAGGGATATTAGGAAGGAATTCTTTGCTGTGAGGGTGATGATGCCCTGGAGCAGGTTGCCCAGAGAAGTTATGGATGGCCCATCCCTGGAAGTGTTTGAGGCCAGGTTGGATGGGGCTCTGAGCAATCTGGGATGGTGGTGTCCATGGCAGGGGACATCAGGGGCTGCCCCTCCTCTGAGTGCCAACTATCCACTGCTGCCACTGACTCTTTGTGGTGAGCACCAAGGGTAAGAAAGGAATATTTGAGGTGGCAAAATGGGAAATAATCAAGATAAAGTGAAGAAGTAGGATGGTTTATATAAAGTAAAGTACCTGGACTGTGACAATTGCAAAAACATGTTTTTCCCCTGGAAGGGAATGATAGGTTGCACATCAGAGGCATTTAGAGGTATTAAAAAGAATATCTGTCTGTCAACACAGTACAGGAAAAAAAAAGACCATTAACAGGACAATATAGTAATTAATTTAATGGACTAATTAACTTCATGGACTTACCTGTAAATCTGAATTTATAGTTATGGCAGACATATGCAGGGAAGTGTCATTTGTCAATAACATTCAGTGCTGTAGTAAATATTATGTTTACTAAGTTCCTCCCTTTAAAAAAAAAACATGTTTATTTCTTTTCTTGTTTTCATTTCAAGAACATCTGTCAGGAGCTACCAGAGACAGTGTCCATTTCCTCGCACCAAGATAATTGTTTTACTGTAATTAGAAGCATTTGTGAATAATAAGATTAAGGTTTCTAAAGGGTCTTATCAACAGTTATGAGGTGATTTGGTTTGATTACATTATATCTCATCCACAAAAACCTGCAGTGATACCTGAAGAGATTAATGAGTTTTATTAGTATGTACATTAATCCAGTACACAAGATAATGATTTTGCATAATAAACTATGGGTCTGATTCTCAGCTGCTGTAAACAATAACTCAATTATAAGGTCATTAGGATTAGCTGTATTTCCATCTACTGAATATACCTTTGTCTGAATTTTAGCTATTCAGGACTAAATCCTCAAATCTCACTGTAGCACAAATACAGCACAGCTTCATCTGTGAAGCTCATCTTGGTGTCTCCATTCAGATAACTTTACAGAAAATATGCATACATGAGCAAATACAGAAATCTAGGTAGAATTTCCATTTTCAGTGATTTTATTAATATATCAGTCCATTGCATTTGGTAGTTATTCCTTATTTACATTACTTAAAGTGGGTGTTCTTTCAACCTATTTGCTCTCAAGCAGTTTACAGGAACCACGTTTCTTTTTGGCATTTTTCATGTAGGATCCATCAAACTTCAGGTTATGGGTGCACTTGCAGCAGGGACAGCTCCCTTTGGTTCCTGCTGCAGCTGATGCGAGCCAGGTCAGTGGAAACCTCTGTTCTGGCTGAAGTACAGATTTCTGAATAAAAATATCATCCTATCAGACTTTGGTCATTTAAATAGGTGTTGTGGTTTCATGGAGAATCACCTGGATCCACTAATAGGACAATTCCATTTCCACAGCTCCTCAGACTGCTTAGACACAGCTTGGCCATGCCTCAGCTCCTCAGGGTGTTGAGTTATTCCTCAAAAGCAGTCGTGCTCTAGTATAGTTTAGATTAACAGAAAATCTTATTTATTCACATGCACATATAATATAAAAAAGGAAAAGCTCCTTGGATGAGGATCTGTCAAGGGACCCTGCAGATCCTGTAGCTTATCCAGCAGACAGTGCAAGCCCACCAGGGTGAACAAGAGTTTGTCTCACAATGTCTGCTCCCCAAGGGCTTCTGCCAGGAGTTCCTATCTCTACTTTCCCCCCAAAATATTCCCCACAGTTGGAGACGATGTTCACAACCAGACAGTGGCAGACAGTACCTGTGGCTCTTTAGTGCTTTCTTCATAATATGTCTAACATGCATAAATTTGTATCTAAATATGTATTGAATATATAAATTTCCATAATATGTATAAAATACATCAATATGTATAAAAGCATCCAGAGCTCAGGTCTTGCTGTCTGCTCTGTGACTGTGACATGAAAATGTGTGTTCATAGTGATCACTGGTGTACCCAATGTCAGCCCCATATATACCTTTGGAGGTAGCTAAATTAAATTATTTTACTGTAATCAAGCCTGTAATAGCTTAAAAATTTGTATTTTCTCAGCTGTCCATAGAACAAACACATGGACAAATATTTATGGCTTGAAAAAATTTCTGTACTGACAGAGAATAACCTGTACCATACCTCAGTTTCACTCTATCCCTTCCTTTGTGACTTCCTGTCACACATTTCATTGAGTTTAGGGCTACAGACATGATTGTGGCACAGCTGAACTTCTCTATAATGGATGGCAAGGTTTGAGCAATCAATCATTGCTTATAAAATATTTTGTGGCACTTAAATGAAAGGCAGGCTTAAGGGAAAATATATTCCCTAAAAGGAAAAAAAAAAACAAACAAACAAACAAAACCCAAGAAAGGTCTGGCATCGCTCATTTTATCCCAAAGGTCAAGAGCTGGAAGTTTTCTTCTCGCTCTTTTGGTACTTTAAAGGCAACATATAATTTCCTTTAAAGATTTTTTGCTGTCCTGCAGAATACATTTAACAGCCTTGCTACCTGGCACAGGCTGAAATGAGAGCAGCTGCTGCAATAGAAGGTAACCTCTCTTGAAAGAGGACAGTGTAATGCTTACTGTCAGGAGGCAACGTTTATTGCAATCAGTCGGTCCCAGAAGGCTAGTTACCTTATTTTTCATCTAATTTTATATGCTCATGATTGAATTACTGTAGCAGGATCTAAGGAAACATGATGCTTTGCAGACTGCTGTTAGATTATCTCCTCTAGACACGGTTGAAAAAGCAATATCTGCTTGACCAAGGTCACTCCTACTGTCATTTCCACCATAAAATATGGGTTTATACTTCTACCTCTTCTCATAAAGCAGCACAGGCACCTCTACTGATTCCCTCTAAGATAAACAGAAATAAAATCTGGATGGACGTGATTTGCTATTTTATACATAAATTTAATTGAGGTTGGATTTTTCTCATCTGAAATGGGATGCAAATTTCAATTTCACTGAGAAAAGGATAAGAAACTGCAAGTTTTGGCTACAGGAAGAAATTTATTCCTGTTTCTTGAGTGGGACTCAGACACTTAGGGTGCAAGTCTGAATGACATCAGCCAGTAAAGCACTAAAGCCTATTTTTAGGTGATAGCTCCTTCTCTGAAGGATGAAACCCTATCAATTACTACCCCTGTAGTCAACTGTGCAGTGTTTTACTATTTCCACTGTGCACAGGTACACTTTATCTCCAGTGGCTCCTTTTATCTGTCCCAGTGCAACCAGCCAGCACCATTAAAACTCCACTCCTAATGAGGCTGTTCATGGGGAAAGCAAGGGAAGCAGCCCTTTCTGTCACAGGATAATTGGTACTCTGACACTCAGGTGCTTTGGCTGCAGTGTCTTCACTATCATAAAAAAATCTGTGAAATCACAGGGACTTTCATTTGGACTTGTCAGAGTCCAGGACATCCCTCTGGCTGTCCTGGCTGTCTCAAGACCCTGGCAGGGGGCTCAGAGACCTTGGCATGAAGTCAGAAACACCTGTGGCTTTGATTTTAGCCCATGGAAAAAGCTGCCAACTTTGTGTGAGGAATTACATGCCACAAGGGTTTGAGTAGTGTGATAGTTGAGTTAACACCGGGTGAAAAAAGGGGTTTTAGAATGCAGTTCAGGGGGTCAAGATGGAGGAATTTGGGCATGTCCTGGCCTCCTTTTCCTCCTTCTTGCCCTCCATGTCTTGGCGTGATGGTGACACTTTTCTATTTGTTTAAGGTAGAGACACACTGTCCAAAATAAATGATAGGTATTGGCACATTACTGTAAACATACTCATGTTTACATGTTTTGAGTATATAATGTGGGAGCCACCCAAGGCTCGAGGCAGATTGCCATGGCTTCCTTTCTGGATGGAGCTCAGCAGGTCAGAGAAAGAATGTTATAGAAAAGGAAAAATAAACAACCTCGAGAATGCGATCCAAAGCATTCCCGACTCCTTCTTTGGGTGCAGCAGGCTAAGGAAGCAAAGACTTTTACAATCTCAGGGTCATTCCAAAGCAAAGGAGACTCTGACATGGACTCACAGAG